AAAGAAAAAAACTACCCTTTGTCTTTTGAAACAATGTTCCCTTCCCATGAAACTTCCACATAAAAAAAATGGTAAGATTCTCCTCTCTAGTCTTTTCATTTTTTTTATTGTTTATTTCTTTTTTTTAACTCTTCATTCTTTTCTTTTTTCGATCTTCTTTTTTCTTTTAGTTCGAATTCTTTTTATTGTTTCTCCTTTTTTGATTCCCCTGTCTCCCTTTTTTTCGATCCCTCCCCTTCCCATTTTTTTATAGATTATATATATGTTTTTTATTTGCCCGGCCACTATTTTCTGGCTTTAATCGGGTTGAGGGTGGCTCTGATAGTAGCTGATGGGATAGACTTGGCTTAGGCGGTGGCAGTAGCAGGCATAGCCTAGGTGACAATGACAGCAAGCGACGGTGGCAGAAGCATGCTAGGGTTGAGGGTTAGGGTAGGCTAGGGTTGTCACAGACTTGGGTCTGTTTTGGTTAGGTTGATTGTTTGGGCCTGATGGAGAGTAATCTTGTATTTTGGCTGTAAAAATATACATAATATTTTAATAATAATAATAATAATAATAATAAAGGTCAGACAAAAATTGGTTGCTACAACAGTAATTGATGATTCTAGTATCGCCGAGGCTACTTCAGATGGACAAGGTTTGATATAGTGGGTGATGTCTCAGATGCAGCGATTTCTCATGGTCATGCACTGCAGAATGATCAGCGAGGATGAGCACATTAACCAACGCCAGTCAACCCAAAATAACGTAACCCTGGATGTCTCACTGTCATCATCCAATTGTAATGCATTACATATATTATGATGTCATGAGGAATCTTGAGATTTCTGATATGCCGGAGATATGCACAACACACTAGGGTACATCGGACGACGGATCAACAGAGTTGGCAGTTAGATCACGGTTTGAAACTAAGAAGGATGCCTAACTAGAAGTAAATGATTTTTGTATCAAAACTCATATGAAATTCAATGTTGTGATGTCTGATTAGAAGACATGTTTTGTCAAGTGTATAAACAACAATATCAGTTGTAAGGGGAGGATATATGTCTAATACCTACAATAAAAGATGTTGTGGGAAGTCACAAGGTTCCACGATCAGCACAGTTATACATTGAGCTCCCTGACACAAGACCATAAAAACTTAGATTCAGATGTCATATGTGGATACGTTAAGCTTTTGGTGGTGAAAATTCAAGGATCCCAGTTTCAATGATAGTGGCATCAATCCAGAATACATTTGGTTATACTTCCTCTTACTACAAGTATGATGGTTAAAAGGAAAACTATAACACTATTATACAGTGATTGAGATCAGTCGTACAATGAACTTCTACATTTGTTGCACACAATGAAATTCTTCATCCCAAGAACCATTGTTCACTCTTATACTTATCCTACGACCACGTTTGATGGACATGTAATCCCAGGGAAGAGAGTTTTTGGAGGCTTGTTCTGGGCTTTCAAGTCATCCATTGAAGGTTTTCGATATTGCAAACAAATGTTTCAAGTGGATAACACTTTTCTGTATGGCGTATACAAACACGTCCTGATGATAACTGTTGCACAAGATGGTGACATAAACATTTTCTCCATTGTCTTTGCCGTTGTTAAAAATGAGTTCGAAGAAAAGTGGAATTTGTTTCTGTCAAACTTGTATTCCCATGTTGTCACTCAACATGGGGCTTGTATACTCTCAGACCATTGACCTCAGTTGTTGGTCACGATTGCAAAACCGGGAGCAGGTGGTCACCATCCATGTATTTTCGGCGTATTGCATAAGTCATATTGCTTCAAATGCTATAACGAGGCTTAAGAATGAGAATATCAAAAAATAGATTATCAACTTGGGTAACTTATTCTTTTTTCCCATCATTTATGTTCTTTATTTATTATTATACTTAAATCTAACTTTTTTCAGGATACGTTTTACTACAATTGAACTTTCGTGCAATGATGGAAAATCTGAGGAAATATAGAGAAGAGGTTTATAACTTTGCAGCTGAAATACATCGGGAAAGAATATCATAGGCAAATGACGGTCAGGGTCGACGTTATGGTCATATGACAACCAATCTGGTTGAATGTATCAATTCAATTATTAAAGGAATTAGACATCTTCTGGTGGCAAATATTGTTCGGGAGACTTACTTCAGATTTGGTAAAGAATGAGTAGACAAAGGTGCCCAAGTAGAGGCAATGATCAACGAAGGCAGAAATTGGGATCCAGATCTGAAGAAAGCAATAAAAAAAAATCAAACACATGCAACATTAATGTATGTTCATAATTTTGTCAGACTCGATTCTGATTATGTTGTCCAAGCACTTGTATAACCACATGAGAGTGGGAATTTTGCCACCTACATTGGTATTCTGTATAGAAAATGGTGTGATTGCGGTCGATTTCAAGTCTTTAAATACCTATGTGCTCACGTGGTTGTTGCATGTATGTATGTGAACGTAGACCCATAATCATACGCTGATGATTGTCACAGCTTCCATACTATGTGCGACATATACAATTGTAACATTAAATATCTCCCAAACGTTGCATATTGGCCACCAACTATTTCTGAATAATGATTGTCCAATCCACAATTACGAAGGAAGTTAAGAGGTCGTACTGAATCTACTTGAATTCATACTGATATGGATGATCCACAATGAGAGCAAGGTTTGTCAAAGTTTTGTGGCCACTGTAGAGGTGAAGGTCATGACAGGAATCATTGTCCACATCTTCCAAAATATCAATCGAACCGATAAAAACCTTTATAATTGTATTCCTATATTGAATGTAGTACATGTTTTGAATAATTTATTAATATCAATAACTATATTTAATTTTTACATTGTTTTTATCTCCAAAATATTAGAAAAAACCACGAAAAAAATTTGAAAAATATAATATTAATTAAATAATATTATTTTAAAGGAACTTATCACCTCGATGTGATCAATTCTAATTTTTCCCCAATTTTCAATTTAAATAAATAGCTTAAAAGATAATATTATTTTAATGGAACTTGTCATCTTGAGGTGATGATTTCTTTTTAAATAAATTCAATAATACACACACATTATCCACGGGAACTCGTCACCTCGAGTACTATAGAAAATATCGTAGATCCAAAATTAAAAGTTTGGCAGTCATATTTCTAAAAAAAAAAATTCGAGCTGTCGTATTGGAAAAAACCCTCTTATCACTCCATTATCAATCACAAAATCGCTTGCTTATCATTATCCATTAACTTAAAGTCCAAGATAAATGATATTGAATAAATTAGGAGCTACTCGAGTTTCAATTGAAAAAAGCTTGGTCAATATTTAAATTAAATGAACTCGATTCAAGATTTTAATGGGTTAAAACGGACTATTTGATAACTAACTCGAAAAATATTATATTAAATTTTTAGTTTTTTAAAATTAATCAATCATATTTATATTATTTTTAAAAAAATTTAATTTTTTAAAATTTTAAATCAATTTTTAAATTGAAACACATTAGTATCAATTTTTCATTAGAGTTCGATTTGAGCTTGATAATTTTAACTTTGTGAGCATTCAAATCAATCGAACACAACTTTAAATTTTTCAAGTTAAATCAAGCTCGACTCGTTTACAGCTTAAATCAAAGATGATGGTTAACTAATAGTATAATATAAAAGAATAATAAAATGTATATCATTGTATGATTTATCACATTATTTGAAAATAGATAATAGTAAAAATAAATTATTCATTCACTTCGATTCAGTTATCAAATTAAAATCAGATCAATATTCTATTCGAATCAAGTTTATTTAAATTAAATTTGAATTATTTATGGTTTAGGTTGCTTCGATTTGAGTTGTTTTCAATCCGGATTAAAGTTTATAAAAACCCATATCAATACAATTTTAACTTAATTTGATTTAATTCAGATTTCATATAAAATTCAAAATCATTATATTTTCGTCCATATCAAATTTTGAATAATATAAATTAATTTAAATAATTAGGTTTGAATTAAATTAGTCAGATCTAATTCTATATAACTATAGATTTATTTTATTGCAATATTTATCACAATAAGATGTTTTTTCATCTTTTATTCATTTTATATAATTAATTAGTAATTCATTGTCGCTTTACTTTTCTACTTTCATTTCTTTAAATGTTATTTTTCACTCCCAACTACTTCCAAATTTTTTCAACTTTCCCTATATAAGATATTTTTTATGCTCTATCAATTTTATTATAAAAGTAGAATTATTTAATAAAATAAATTTATCATTTTAATGGATAAATGAGATAATTTTTTAATATTTTATTTCAATATTAATAAATATAAATATAAATATATAATAATAACAATCAACCTTTAGATGAATACAAATATAAAAAATTAATATATATATATATATGAAATCGTATGTGTGACATAAAAAATAATTATTTCAAAACTTAAAAACTCGCACCAACGGTTACATGGTATTTAAACATTTATCGTCAAATGATTGAAATTCTAAAAGTCAATTGATTGAAATTCTAAAAGTCAATTGATTGAAATTCTTTAAAACAGATTATCACTTGTAATTAACCTAACTTAATTAAAAAAAACTAAAAAACCCATGAGTTGTAACTGATTTTTTATTTTTTGTGTGTAATTGTTTATATAGTAGGAAAAAATAACTTTAAAGTAATATTGTTTAACATTACTTATAAATTAAAAATTACAATCGATATATATATATATATATATATATATATATATATATATATATTAAGAATTATTCAAGAAAAACATATGCTTAAATCTTAATGTACATATAGATTTTGATGTTGCAAAAACTTATTTATTCACAATGTTCATCAACGACACTCCCATGAACTCTGATATAATATATCTCCCCCTTTGTTTCCTTAGATGCTAGCCCTTGATCGATGGTTCGATACGATTCTGGCTTACGGTTCGAGAAAATTCCGGCTCACCATACTAGCTAATTTGCTGGAAGAAAATAGTTTTCAAAGTGAATTAGTGGTCGAAATTCTTGCCTTGTGAGGGCTATTCACATGCTTAATCCCATGGTGATCATGCTTTGCTTGTAACCGTCGGGGCGTCCTTGGCGATGCTTGCTTTGTTGCATCGAGACGTTCCAACGAGGCTAGAACATCAACCATGCAGAGCCTGTACTTCGGATCCATATGCAAGCACTGCAATGCGGGTGCAGCGGCAGCTTGCGCTCCTTTCTTCGAGTACTGACCTCCCAACCTCGTGTCCATTATCCGTAGTACTTTCCTATTGTCACTTAGGAACGGTTTGGCCCATTCTACTAGTGTTTCTTCCGAAAACCCGACTCTCTCATCGTCCATTGCCCGTCGCCCTGAAAGTAGTTCTAATAGTAGAACACCAAAGCTGTACACATCGCTCTTTGGGGTCAGATGACCTGCACTCGAGGTTTAAACAAGTTGGTTAGTTCTACGAGACAAAGCGATTGCTGGTATGATCATGCTTAAGCATATTATGTTCAAAAAAGAGTATGAACAAACCTGTAGCAACATATTCAGGAGCTGCATAACCTTGAGTTCCAACAACTCTGGTCGAAACATGGGTGTTATCACCAGTTGGACCATCTCTTGCTAACCCGAAATCCGAAAGTTTTGCGTTGTAATCCTACATAAGTTTACATGTAAATAACATTAATCATTAAGCAAATGGAATGTTCAATACAACATATCTGCTATGCAAACTTGATCCCAAATCAGAACTATTGATCTGTCAGCATTACCGAGTCTAGGAGAATGTTGGAAGCTTTTAAATCACGGTAGATTACATTAGCATCTAAACCATGTAAAAAGGTCAATCCCTGTGCAACGCCCCGGGCAATATGCATCCGTGTACCCCAAGAAATTGGTTGAACATTTTCTGAAAGAAGAAACGAATAACGGGTTTAGTGTTATCAGATTCTAACTTGACCAGCCAAACAAACTATGAAAAAGAGAAGATTAAAGATGACTCATAAACAGAAGTGCCACCATCCTAAAGACCTAAACTAGCACATTGACGTGCAGTTGATACATGGTATATGATTTAACATAGTGAGAAAAAGATCAATGGAAAAGGAGTCGGATCTGCAGAAAGACAGAAGCTTACTTTTAAATAAGTGGTTCTCCAAACTTCCCTTTTGCATAAACTCATAAACCAAAAGTCTATTCTCAGACTCCACACAGTAACCAATGAGTTTCACAAGATTTTCATGGTGAAGTTGACCCAAATAGTTAACTTCCGCCTGATAATATTGATCAACGTGGAATCAGGTTCACAAACATGAACTTGCAAAATATGGAAAAAGGAAAAACAAAAAGGAAAATTGAAACTCATAATCAAAAGTTCACATACAAGCCATTCCTTGTGCCCCTGAAAACTTTCTGCCTTGAGTTTTTTGATAGCTACAACAATTCCGGTACCCGGCTTGGTCGGAACAAACGTGTTCTCATCAATCCAACCTTTAAAAACACATCCAAACCCTCCTTCGCCGAGAAGTGCTTCGGACCGGAAGTTTTTGGTGGCATTTTTAAGATCACTAAAAGTGAAAGACTTGAGACTGATGGAAACAGATGTATGAGGTTTTGATGATATGAATGGTTTGTTCCAAGTTTCCTTGGGCGATTTCTGGGTCTTAGAGTTTGATTCCAGCTCTGTGTTACTATGAGTCTTCGCACTACCTTAAACAACAAGAAACAAAATTTAGGAATTTACTGACTTCTAAATCCATATCAAACCCGCAGTTCATCAATTAACCACATGAAAATACCAGAGAAACATGAAAATAGATATATTTAAGTATGATCAGAGAATGCATGAAAAAGGATTTATAATTAAATGAATGGCCCTTTGTTTGCTCAAAACCAAGCTTCAAAATACATCAGCCAAACCAAAATAGTCTTTTGATTTCATTCACAGATTGCATGGTGGATTAATCCATTATCAACAAAGTGCATCCGAATTAGTGTACAAAAGTGCATTAAGATTTGTACAGCAGCAAATCAGCCTAAAAATCACCTTCACTCTACGCTACCAGCAGAATGTCAGATGAGATGTACCTAAAGTTCTTGTTTATTGGCTCATCAGATCAAATATCTCACGAACTCCAGAAAGTAAAATCCATCGAAAATCTTTGCTCGTGGAACTTTGTTTTAGAACAACACAAACCCAAAGCCCAGAAAACATATATAGTTGAAAAGCTTATAATTAGGCCCCACAAAGATCACATAGCAAATGAATTAAATGAAGGGAAACAAGTGATGGAGTGACCTGATAAATTAGTGGAAGAAGCATGAGCACAATTTGCAGGTTTAGGCCAGCAAATCCCCATGATGGAAGAAAGAAGATCAAACAATAAGGCTGAAAGGGTCAAATCTCCATAGTGTTAGAAGAAGAAGAAGAAGAGAACCACCCAAAGTTCGTCCCATTTAAAGCGTCATTTTGTTCAATTTAAGGAACCCCAAAAACAGAAGAAACAAGGGTTTTTTTTTTGTAGAAACGTTGCATTGGTCAATGGAAGGTGGCTGGATTGAAAATGGAAAATGTCTACGTCCTTCTTAAATAATACCGTTTACATAATCTTCATCGAATTGTGAGTTTCATGGCCCTCCCATTACGGATTTAAAGTCCCCACAATGGAAGAAAACTGTATTTGAATATTGACTTTTAGCATCATACGCCTGTGCTCTGCTCTGCAACTCTCGGCTGTTGAATATCAAGCTCTTTAATCCTCTTGGTCACCCTCAAATTGTACGTAGCTGTACGAACGTCATTTTTGTGTTTTAATTTTTAAATTAAAAAAATTATTTTTTTCGAATTGACTTGACATTAAAAAAAAACTTGTAATTTCATAAATTCTACTTGAAAAATATTTAAATAAAATTTGAATTATAAAAATATGATTTGAATAACTCGTATAACTCAAAATTCTTAGTAATTAGAAGATTAGTTTTTAAGTTCAAGTCGATTCTCTCAACTTCTCCATGATATATGTACATCACACATGAAAAAGTATGAAAAAATAAATATGTATATCTTATATGGTCATAGAAAGCATTTAAATTGAAATCATTTAGTACCATATCATTATAAATATTTAAAATTAAATATAAACAGAAACTCAAATAACACGACTCTAAAATTTTTAAGACAAATTTAAGTTATAAAATAAACTTATCAACTCAAGTACCCGAGATTTTTCCCTTAACTTAACTCAATCAAATGTCACTAATTAAAATATCTTTATTGACTCTCAACTTTATCAGTTTAATCATATTTTCTTTAAGTTTTTATTGTGATTCGTTTGACTTTTATTTATTTCAATTTTATCAAAATGATTCAAATGTGACATAACAATAACCACTCTGTATCAATTATTTTATTTATCGAATTTGAGTCAGTTTGACAAAAAAAATGCGAGAGGAAAAGTAAAAGCTAAAATGTCAAACTATAACATAGAAATAAATTTTAATTTTTTTATAATTTATGTAATGCGAAATTGAGATAATATAAAATATGTAATTGAAGTTAAATTACAAAGTTTATTGAGTAGTGATAGAATGTTTGGATAAAAAATATTCAAGTTATTCTGATTAATATTATGGTAAACTACACAAGTGACCACTTAACTATTACCCTTTTTCACTTTGACCACCGATGTTTCGATTTAATTGATCAAATCGTCCAACTATTTAAATATTCCAATCAAGTCACTGTCTGTTAACTTTTAACGGAGAAAGTGGCATGGCAGTTAAAAGTTTGATATAACTGTATATTTGGTCCTCGATATTTATAGATTCTATCGATTTGATCATACATTAGTTCAATTAAAATAAATTTAGCCTCCAATTAGATGGTGACACGTGTCGTTAACTGATTAGAGGATATTTTCTTAATTATGTTTTATTTAATTCAATAATTTTTTCGTTCAATAGGATGGTGGCAAATATAAGTGCATATTTGATCCTCAATATTTATACATTCTATTGATTTGATCATACATTAGTTCAATTAAAATGAATTTAATCTCCAATTAGATGGTGACACGTGTCATTACGAGATTAGAAGATATTTTTCTAATTTTATTTTATTTAATCTAATAAATTTTTCATTCAATAAAGTGGTGACACGTGTCACCACATATTAAAGAGAGCAAATAATAAAGTAATATAACAATTAGGAGGAATTGAACCACTAAGCTAAGCCCCAATTTAATTATAAATTACAACATTTATTATATATCTTATTCCAAATAATGACATTAATAGAATGAAAATGTTAACAAGGAGATTTGATCCTAGGCATGTAAACGTAACTAAGGATGAAACTACTGTAACCAATAAGCAAATTCAATCATTTGAGAAAAAAATTGTAGTATGTTTTATATATTTATAATTTTTGTTAATGTAAAAAAAAATTCTTAATTTTTACTTATTAATTATAATTTAATATTACATATATTTATTGATAGTTATATATTAATTATAATTTAATAGAACAAATAGTTTTGAATTTTTATATATTAATTATAAGATAATATATATTAAAAATATTTTTTATTAAATTACTTATTAATAGTTAAGAATTATTTCTTTCATTAAATTATAATTTATTATATATATAATTATTAATAAATATATATAATATTAAATTATAATTAATAAATTAAAAGTAATGATTTTTTACATTAATAAACATTACGAATATACAAAAATATTGCACTATATTCATAATAATAAGATTTGGTTTAGGTGACTTCACTTTTAATAATAATCCCAGGTTCAAGTCTCTTTGTTAGTATTTTTCACTTCTTTTTTCTGTCATTCATTGAAATGAGATATATAAAAACCTAAAATTATTATTATTATTTCAAAAAGAAACCAAAATGTTTTTAAAATATCAAAAGGACCACTAACATTCCTAAACCCAAATCATCAAATTCCATCGCCAGTTGCCATTGTCGTCGTTACCGGCCACCATTGTGTTTGGTTGGCTGTCACCAAAAGCACGGATGGATCAAGGGGTGTTGGGGGTGCGATCGCACCCTTTAAAAATTTTAAATTCCCTTATATTTTAGGGTTTTTTTTATATAACTTCTTAAATTTCCATTCTCTCCATCCCTGCCTAAGAGTAACGGCAAGTCAGCCAAAAAATGAGCTTACTATTGTTAGTTAAAACAATCTGATCGACGCTCTTTTCAGCGTTCGACTAGGTTCTCCGGTTACTAATTTCACATCATAGCATGACTATTCCAAGAAAGATTGATTTTATGGTCCAAATGTATGGATGGTGGTGCAGAAAAATGCTGTAATATCTTGTGAAACCATGGTAAGTTTGATGTCTTCCCCAAAAACTTTCTGAAGCTGTGCATCACAATTAAAACAAGATGGATCGCTTCGATTTTGAAGTTTTCTAGACATAACTCTTGTTAAGTTATGGACCATTTAAAGCAACCAACAATGTATATAAACCTCGTTAGCGACCATGGCAATGGCGGCTGGCGACGGCGACAACAGGAATGAAGTCTAGATTTTAACTTGAGGGGTAAAGTATAACTATTCTAAAATTAAGGGGACAATTTTATAATTATCCCATAAATATTTAAATTTTATATATAATTAAATGTAAAAACAATTTTATATAATTTTTTCTAGAGTACCCGAAATACTTATTTGAATCCTGGTCAAGATGTTCACATTAGCAATGAATCACTCAGTTAATACTGAAATCAGAAGTTTTCACTGTTGTCTAACCTCAATTTAATGAGGAGCTCACCACCTTTCTTCCTGATGGATATTTGTAACTTTGTTTTTTATTATATGAATGATAACTGAAATACCAACATTGGTTCTTTCTGATAATTGTTTTACAAAGTTGTACGTTACAAGTCTGGGTCTTGTCTTACATAGCAGTTTAGCTGTGTCAGATATTATTACTTATTGGATTATATTATCACGTATACATGAATTTCTTTTATTTATTTATTTATTTATTTATTTCATGAATAAAAAATCTTCTGAAATAATTTAATTATTATATAAGTATTAATCAATAATACTTTTTATGCTACTCATTGGGTTCATCTAACAGTGTAATCAAATACTTTTATATATCTTAATCGATCGGAAAATATATGATGGATAGGCAAAAGACAGATATGAGTACCATGCCATCATCCGAAACCAGGCATTCGTGCGAAACAGCCGAAAAACTTCATTAACAAGCCCAAATGGCACCGGAAAGAGATCATGCGTACCATAGAGTATTATGATCTTCTTGAGTACTTTCCCACATTCATATGCGTGAACACAACCAGATTTAAAAGAAGAATTACCAAGTTTCGAGAATCCGGTACATAGTGATTTCTTGCTGCTTGAAGTACCGTCGATCTTCTTCGTCCACTAGCACAAGATTCAAATAATATTTCACGCTGAATTTGTTATTGATGTTACGATATGTTGGTGTCAGTTCATATGGACTTAAGAACAGTCTGATCGGAATCGATTCTCCTGTAAAGGCATTCATAATAGCTCAAGTAAGATACGCCTCATGGCCTTAGGTGATAGACATACACAACTCCATTAAAAATCCTCTGACCAAACCAAACATGCATATCAATCGACTCCTCGAATTTCATAAAGAAATTATAATTGAAACCTAAGTCTAAAATGATAGTATTGAAACGGATGTAGCAATCATGACCAACAACCGTAGCATGTAGCATATGATAGTTGGCTAGTGTCTGTGTCGCTGTCTTATGTTACTTGGATTCGAGTGTGTTAGGTACAAGTCTATGTCCAACGTGAGGTATATTCAATTTTTTTTTTATAAGTCCTTCCATTAATTTGGAAGGTCCTAAGAGAGTCATATTTACATGCCCATGTTCAAATCTGAGTCGAAAATGGAAACTTCAAGATAAAATAGATATGAACATCAAGGCAAATACCAACACTAGGAGGTATTCTATAAAAGCATGATTGCAAAAGTGTTCCGGGCTAACGAATATCTAAGATATCTGCCAAGAATTCTAAATCTGTGACATTAAAAACACGAAGTTAGAAAATATGGCGTGGGATAGAGAAGCTTGTTAAGGTACCTCTGACAGGAGCACCATCCATCAACTCGAATTTAGCAAGGGTCTCTGTCTCAACATATGTGTTTGGCCCTGATCCAGTTGACTCTCGGCGCCTGATCTCTAGCTCCATATTTTTTAGCTTAATTCTAACAACAAGAAAATATATCTTGCCAATAATGACATCCTTCAAATGATACCTGAATATTTGAAATCCGACATAAATACATCAGTATCCTCCCAACTTAGGGTAAAACAATTGGCATGGGATTATATACAAACTCTAATAAAAAATGCATGCCGAGCGACGTACTTGCTTTTACTGTATTCAAATTCAATATGTAGACAATCCTCAATCCCAACTTCCATCTATATGAACAATCGATAGAAATAAATAAAAGTCGATTTGAAATCCCAAAACATCAAAATTGGTATAGAGTGGCTACATGTCATATCAACCATCACATTTTCCAAGGAAACAATAGAAGTAACACCTTTAAGGTCATTCCAATGTCTATCATACCATGCAAAATATTGGTAATATCAGGCACTAGTACGAGACATTTTATAGCACCATGGAATTTGTAAGGGGTCTAAATGATAATCTCTTTATGTTATGTTTGGATGATAATTTTGAAATTTTGGATTTGGATTTCATTTGCTATATAAATTGTAAGAATGAAATGCATACATTTATGAATAAATTAGTTGGGTTTCAATATAACATATTTTTTGAAAGTATAGAAAGCAAGAATCTGTGAAATTCATAAGTTAGGAATTTCAAATTCACTACTAATAGGCATCCAACAAATCTTTTTTTGATAGGAATTGAAGGCCTCATTAAAAACCTCCTTCTTGATTATAGAGACTTAAAGAGAAGCTCCTTAATCAGCGGAAGGAAGAAAATAGTGCCTTAGGATTTCATTGAACCTAAGAACACCAAAATACATCCAGATATCGACCCCGTACATAAAACAAAACACCATAAAACAACCAAAAAACACCCCCATAGCAGCAACAGTAGCTCAACCTAATATCAACCACAACAGCCTCTAAAAGACTGACCCAACTAAAAGTCTAACTCTTGACTCGGAGAGCACCAGAAAACAGAACACCTAAAAAAGAGAGAAAAAAATGACAGCTGACTCAAACCATAGTATCCAAAATAAAACACAGACATCCAGGAGCTTCCATCCACACGAAGAGGGCAGAAAACCAAACTATAGACTCTGGCTCCAAAGCTGGAAAAATGGAATCATAATCTGGCTCCCAGAACAGACAAATCTCCCACACATTAAACCTTCTACTGCTGCTTGATTTGGTTGTATCAGGCCATTAATTGGGGACCCGAAACTTTCTCTGCTAACCCCGATATATCTCTGCCATCCAGCCTGTCAACCACCGACCCAACCTGTTGGGCATCCCCATCCTGGTGGGCCTCCACACCCTTGGAACTACTAATAGCACGCCTCTTAATAATGTTAATCACGTTTTTCATCACCTTTGCCTTTAACCGACCATCCAAGTTGGATGAATCAAAAAAATCCAATATTCTCTCTCTATCACGTGCAGACATACAACTTTTGCTGCTTTCAAAAACTGACTCTCTAGCCCCTTGATCCAGCACATTCTCGTGCTCCACCACATCCTCGAATTCCGATGGAATAATCCCCACACCAGCAGCATAATTCCTTAAGCCCATAATAAAATCCTCCCCTATGTTCCTTTCCATTACTTCCCCACCCGACGAGAAGCAGCCACTAACTCTTTCCCCCATACAACATAATAGACTTTCTTCATCCACAGAACAACGCTCAAAAATCTTCTCCACCGAAGAGTCCTCGTTTCTGCCAGCTCCCTCAAGACATACCTCCACCACGGTAGAATTAACTGGCGAGACACCGACGAGCTCCCCCACCAAAGATAACGGGGAGGCAACTGCCTCATCCATCAAGAACGAGTCTGCCCAGACTGAATCGGGACTGAAACAAGGCTCAAACTCAGAAATACAAACTGTAAATAACAAGTCCCCGGCTTTCAAAACAACGGATTCTTCCACACGTGTTTGACGGTTTGTAATAATTTGAAACAAAGCCCTTTCAAAAAAACCTGGATTCACAGATCCTTCGTCAATGGAGATAAGTTCTCCCCATTTGTCTGCAATGCTTCTGAAGGTGGAGGGATTCCACAAAAACGGTGGGATCCCTTTGCACGAAAGCCACGCCCGACGGCTGCTGCAATGAAAGTTTTCCGACCACACTTCTACTTTGCCAAAACATTTATTCAATGCCCCCATCTGATTATTCAGCGTGAAATCCCTACTCTCATCATCTTCAAAAATGATTAGAACTGCTAACCCGCTTAGCCTCATGATTTTCGGGCCTAAAATGCCTTCCTTATGCATTATGGAAGCCAACTCATTCATCTTTAAAAAATTTCTGCACCACCCTACCAAGCTGCCTCTGCAAGTTAGCAGTTTGTCCTCGTCAACAGAACCCACAATGGGAGCCTCTAAATGCCCAACATCCTCCCTTTTACTCTTGATCTCGGCTGGTTTTAAACCCGAAAACTTCTTTCTCCAACATCCAACAAATCTTTGGATTTGAGAAATAATCATATGTTGCATTTTTATGCGTGTTATCACTCAATTTACATCATCTTTGAAATCCAAAACCAGATATTGAAATCCAAGTTTCCAAACGCTAACTTAAGAAGAATTGTTGTAAAAGTGATTGACCCAAATTTAGGCATATTACATATCTTGATATTAGATGGAGAAAATACATTGGAGCAGAAAGACGAGTTAAATCCACTTTTGATACACAAGTATTTGTGAGTTTCACAATGAAAGATATTTCAATTTCAATCTCACCAGTAATCTAAACCAAATAAGCATCAGGAAATAAAAGAAAATTTCCTTACCTTAATACTGTTATTGATTGATGGAGGTGGAGTATAATTGTGGACCTGGTGCAGAAAATATTCAAAGAAAGGAAAAAATTATGAATGACAAATTTAAATATGCTACTGCTATGCTATGATCTTAATCCAGGCAATTTATCTGAACAAGCAAAAACAAATACAAGATGGGGAAAATATAAAACCAATACAAAGAAACTCCTTACACCTAGATGGTAATGCATTAAGAAGATGAAATGACCAAGAAAACAACAATTGAGATCAGAGTATCCTTAGTGAACACCATATGGGTAAAACAATGTTAAATACTAAACAGCTAGTCCTTTCCAAAAGGTCTTCGGGTCCAAGATTGAACACACAAAAAATGATTAAGTAGTGAAATAGCTTTATCACTGGAAGTTTTAATTTGCTAAATTCAAAGTTCATATCCTTGACAGCAATCTGATTAATCTATCCATATCCTATTAATCACATGCAAGGCGTTTTGTTTCCAAAATCCATATCCTTGTTAGCTTTCTGGTTAATCTATTTACATTCATCTAATCACGTGCAGGGCAAATGATGCTTAACAATTATAATATATTCTATTCAAGTTGGCACAAGGATCAAATATCGGTGTTTCTTTTGACAAAGATTATCAAAGAGAATTCTGTGCAAGTAACTTACAATCCTTGATAGGCTTAGTTTCTTTAGATAAATGATAACACGTAAAAAAACAGTCTTATAGGACTCAGGATAGAGTAAGTGGTCAAGAGTAAATATCTTTAGGGACAACCATTTCACAATTGATTCCTTATTCTCTCTCAAAACCAAAGATGATGTGAATTATACTTTTTCGTTTCTGCTCTTAGTTGATCGGTTAAGACAAATGAAGATGGTTTCCAACAACAGGAGGTTACTTCCTAACAACCAATATTTCACCTCATAACAATCCTTCAAGTGACAGCAACATAATCGTAGGTGGTTCCATCCTAACCAGGAAGTCATGTGTGCAGAAACAACCAATTCTTAAATGAGGCTGTGTATCAATAAAACACCCTAGACCTAGCAATCTCAAACTGGAAGTTGGCCCGCTCATAAGATCATCTATAAAATAAAAACTTCCTTCTCACTTTCAACAACTTGTCCAAAGAGGATCACTTAACCTAGAAAGAGTGCTTAAGATGGGAGTTTCTTATCACAACCCTTTTCCGTAGAAGAATTATTTACTGGTTCCCATGGAATATGTTCGCCTGGGAGAAAAAATTAGAGGATTTAAAGTGATTCTTTCCGGATAATTGGACAGTCTTCCTGAACAGGCCTTTTGGTAGGTAACATCATGAAGCTACTGTGAAGGCTACGAACTTAGAAATGATAGCAAATTGAAGAAATGACTTGAATCTGTGTACCTACCCCTAATCAAACTGTTTGGGATTCAAAACAGAAAGAACTCATTTTATCTACTAATAGCGGATAAATTGGCATTATAACAAATCAAGTGCCTATTGCCACAGCTGTAGATATAGGTATTCTGCATTAAGACCTCAACGGTGAATGGTTAACCATAACTCCGATGGGTGATTTCGCTAGAAAAGGCAACACTGAAATCACTATTTTAGTAAATGATGTGAATAAGACCCTTAGACCTCATAAGGGCAGTTGAACTATAAAACGAACTGTGTAATGTAACATCATTCTCATGTAATCTGAGTTAAAACATAAATAAATATTCAGAAGTTAAAAGGTGATGGTAAAAGAAGATAATATCAAAATAATGTAATAGAAATCCAGGTTATATTTTCAAGTAGAATAGCATAGTGATTTCACCCAGTGCTTATACAGAATACATTACCACAAAATCTTGGTACTCCACAATGTTGCTGACATAGTTTCTACTGACTGTCACTTTCAGTATATACCTACACATTTGCAATAATGTTTAGATAGATCAGTTTCATGTTTATATCCTATTATAAAGGATCCTTGAAAACTACAAACATTCAGTAATGAAAATATTTCAACTTAGTCGATCGCGAACAACAAATTGAAATTAAAAAAGGAAAACTAGACGCTAGTGAAAGCCTGAGTAATATGTTTAAATAGCCAAACTTATGCTTGTGCCCTTCACAATCTAGCATGGCAGGGATACCACTAAGCACTGTAACTTTAAAAAAAGGAAATTGCTCACAAAAAGTAACTTCTAGAGGCATGAAAATTTATCACAAGAGTAAACTAATAAATTAAATGAATAGCCTACCTAAGTCTAACATTCACTCCGTTATAAGACTCATATGGCATCTCCACCGTTGCAAATTCAAATGGATATGCTTTTCTTTCATATAATTCACCAGGAACATCAAGTTCACGTACTGCCAACAAAAGGAGAGAATTAGGGATAACTCAGAAGCAACTTTACATGATAATTAAGAGATAATTAATGTCCCTTGCAATGCCACCCCAAACAGGCAAGGTAAGGGAGAAATGGGAGGGGGGAAATCGCGTCAAAACTGAATAGTATAACTTGTAAGGACCCATAAAAAAATTAATTAAAATAAAGACATCTTAAGCCTTTTCTTTAAGGTCAAATACACTCACCAAGAGAGGTGAAATCATAGAAGTTGCCTCTGTCAAAATACAATTCTGCAAAGAATAGAAAAAATGTCATGGTCTAAGTATAGTGGCACAATCTGTATGGAGATGACCTTTCCAAAATTACACACATTGTTCACAAAATTGGAAATAAAGAAACATCAGAGAAAATTTAAGTAGACACAGAATCAAACAAAAAGAAAAACAACAGACAAGTAACTAGAACTAAAGATTGACTCAAGCTAATTTTTTATATATGTAGGCCTGTAAAAGAACCGAACATTCTGCGAACCATTCGTGAACCGTTCGGCGGAAGTTCGTTTATTTATTAAACGAACAAACATTAACAAGATTTTATGTTCGATAAATTAAATGAACGTATAGGAAAAAAGAGCTCGTTCATTCATTTACGTTTGTGAATGGACGGTAATCCGTTTGTTTATGTTTGTTCATTTATGTTTGTTTCTGTTCATTTGTTTATGTTTGTTCGTTTGTCTTCAGCCCAATCTCCAGACCCGCTTGAAATATTAATACCTAATAAATTTTAACCTTAAACCCATTAATATTTTAAAACCCAAGTAATTTTAAACCCAAATAAAAATACTCAAATCAATTAAAGAAAATATAAATCCTAAAATTATTTGGAAAGAAAAAAACTCTTCTCAAATATAAACTCTATTAATTTTATATGTTTCATTTACGTTTGTTTATGTTCGTTCGTTTGTGTTCGTTTACGTTCATTCATTTATTTTTGTTTACGTTCGTTCATTTGTGTTCGTTTATCATTTTAAAGAACGAACACGAACAAGCTAGATTTCTTAATGAACGAACACGAACAAGAAATTCCGTTCATTTAGTTAGTTCGTTAGTTCGGTTAAAGTTAAACGAACGAACATGAACAGACCCTCCTTTGTGTCCGTTCGGTTCGTTTACAGGCCAATACATATGTATATATTTTCTTCTTAGGCTAAACTATACCATATAACATTTAAAGATTAACAGTCAAATGGATATCCCAGTTAAAGTAATGGAAACTATATGGATATCCGGGTTAAAGTAATGGAAACTATATGCATATCCCAGTTAACAGTCAAATGGAAGATCTAAAATGAAAGGTACAGAAAATAAAGCACACCTATCTGACCAAGGAGCTCAATTTTAACACCATTATGTTCAACCTTCTTCCCATGTATCGGTTCTAGAACCACCTGAAACATCAGCAATAAGAACTAAAATACGGATACAGTTTTGAGTGCAAATAATAACAAAACGTTTTGGATATGATAAGCAGATAAACTCAACCATAAGATCCAAAATAGCAACACGAAAAACACTACCTCTCCTACAATATTTTCTTGGCTCTGAAAGAGAGCAGCCATAACTGTTTTCCCATTTTCCTTCTTTAGCGGAACCTGCAAAATAACATTGATCTAAGAGTATAAAGGAAAATCATGTGAATAAAATGGGGGGAATAAACCAGACTATATCACAACAGTATTTATACCAACATAATTGCGTGCACAATTGTAAAATCATGCATTTTGCCTTGTATCTAAAAGCAAACTTTTCATTTTCATTAACATTTCATAAGCAGTATATACCTGATTGCGGCTTCTCCCATCAGCGAATGAAATGAAAATATTACACGGCTGCTTGAAAGCTCCAACTAGGTAATTCTGCAAGAAAACAAATAGATAAACAAGCTTTTCACTTAACCATTATGTTGGTAAAGTAAAACAAAATAAAGAAGAGGCAATTTCCTAAGAAATTGATAGTTTAATACCATGATGCTTTAGCGGGTCCTGAATCAAGACTTTTGCTCAGCATGAAGAACCTAGAAACAGAAACATAAATCATTGAAAATTTGAAATCAATCAACATAATTTTTCTGCAAAATTAGAAAGGAAAAAAGGGACTAAATTAAACTTATAATTAAATTCAAAATTCCACCATCTTCTTACTTCCCCTGGGAAGGCTTAGCACTGGAATCGGATCATGAAAACGAGGAAAGGGAAGGGGGAAATACCTTAATTAGGGATCTAAGAGAAGAAGAAGGGTTGACTGTTGAATTGAGAGCAGATCAGCGGTAACAAATCTTGTAAATAAATGTAATTAGCGTTCCTTCGCTTTTGCTAGACACCAAACCAGTCTTCCTTCGGGTCTTCTGTGATTATCACAGCTGGAAAATTTTTACATTTTAAATGGGATAAATTACAGCATATACCACTAAACTTTAGACGATATATGTTTATATAGTTGAACTTTCAATTATTTTAATTATAGTATTAAATTTTAATTGTTCCTCAACTAGATGATTATGATAGATTAATGGTTGTCGACACGAACATGACGACAAAAAAGAATAAATACTCATCAAGAGACTTTCGAAGGCATAGTATTATTCTTGACGATCGTCGTTCATCACATCGCAACCGACCGCCTCTGTCATTGTCGAATAATTATGGTCGCCATTCCATGTTTGGTCTTTGTAAGATATTCCTAACCATGACAAATTGAAATTAACCTATTTACATACAAAGTGAGTCTAAAATGGCTTTATTTTTGCAGGGATTACTGTTGTTATGGATTTGCAGTAAATTTCTCTCTGAAAAACGAACACCGGAACACTTTACGTAGCTCTACCGTTATTAACAGCTGGTTTAGCCGGAGAAGATGCTTGTCTAGAGATACTTTTATGTGACCAGTTCAAAGAAGATGATATTGTTTTCGACCAGACAAGGTCGGAAAGACAACAGATGGAAGAGTACGCTTGTGTTGGTCTCTGGTCGTGCTAGTGTATGGTCCTACGGCGCCAGCTCTGTCGGAAAGTTCATTTGCTGGACGTTTGCATCAAGCCTCAACTGGACGCAAAGAACAATGGTCACTTTCATCGTTGTGGCCGCGGGCTTACGCACTTTTCATCTGCGGCGGAAGCTATTACAAACGCAAGGCACCGACGGGACGAAGGGCTGTTTCTCGATTGAAGGAGGCGATGGGGCTCATAAAGTTGATCCCTCTTTGGCTATTATTCATCCCTTATTGTCTAGTTGAAGCAGCGGGAAACACTCTTTTCATACTTCAAAGTATTGGACTGGATACAGGCATCAATCCCAAAATTACTCTACATTCATTCAATCAGATTCCCATTACTTCACTCTACGTGTTCGGCTCATTCAGAAGTTTTCTGGTGTCCCTGTCGTCTAAGTATCTGATTGGTAAACTTTGGAGCAACGAAGAACCGAAGCAACATCGTGCTAGATCCGACGGAATCGTTGTCGGGATGCTGTTTGCTTCTGGTTCTTCACTAAGTGCTTGGTTAGTGGAAGTACGAATATTGAAGTTAATCAAGGAACTCCCAGATCACGAGCAAGGTATTCCAATGAAAATACTATGGTTGGCACCTCAATTCGCCTTGAAAGGGATCGCCAACGGCCTTGTTTTGAGAGGGCTTGACGATTTTTTCTTAGACTTTGTGCCGGAATCCAAATTGTATTTTGCGGTTCCGTTCAGTCTGAGAGTGATGGGAATCGGGAGTTTCTCAAGTGCTGTTGCTACTTTTCTTGCACGAGACTGGATCGGCGACACCATTGACGAGTCTCGTTTTGATAAGTACTTGCAGATGTTAGCCATATCGAACATCTCCGTCGTGCCCGTTAACATCTTTTTCTCCTTTATGTTTGATTGGAACATACCCGAGAAGATTGAGATAGAAGATGATGATGATGATAGAGATGTTGAGATAGAGGAGGTTGATGGTAGAGATGTTGAGATATTTTAATAACTAGGGATAAATATAAAATATAACTCACAATTTTAGTTCAATTTTTCATATAATTATACACATTTAAAAATAAATACATTCATTTATCTTCATATTTAATAAATATGATTATTTATGTATATAATATATAAATATAAATAATATTACTGTGTTACTTTCTTAGTGTTTGACTCACTTGTATGATCATTTCATCCCTTTTATTTTCTCTAGTTGCCCGGACGAAGTGATGACGAGATACAGAACTTGTGGAATACAAGAAATAAGAGATTGCAGCGTGCTGGCTTGCCAATTTACCCTCCTGATGTCTTATTCACCTCGAAATTCCTCCAAAAATTATCGGTCCATTCCATGATATGACCACACGTTCCTAATGGCATGCCCTCCTAAGAATCTTCAGGAAAGTGTCGGCAATTATATCTCAATGCCCAAACAATTGACTGATTTTGCTTGCGAGGAGCCCTAAAAACAAATCATCTTCACCATATGATTCTGATTCCAGTACCGATGAGCAGTCATCATTTGGTATACCTTCTAAGCCTCTCCTTCTGAGCCCTATGAACATTGAGCTCCCGTCATACCAATATTCCTGGAAGCAGTACGTGATGAGTCGCAGAAACTTAAAACCTCGTAGGATGATCCTTGTCAGCAGTCTTCTACTTTGATGCTTGACGATGTAACCCATTTTCCCCTGAAGGATTGCGAATCATTGTATTCTCTCAAGTTTTAAGATTTTTGTAAATCACGAACTGTTGGGGTTGTTGGATAAGTTTGTATGGTACTATTGTTATTTAGCTTTTGCTACCTTATGCCGGACAGATGAAGGTGCGTTGTGGCACTTGGACAGTGGGCTGATGCTCGATGTATCATTTGAATAAACATATTGTGCGAGGTAGACTTTCCAAGATAACTAGAGATGTGATTAAAGACCACATGGATTGCAAACATTCATGCGGATGGTGCAAGTCATTATATTAGCGACATTAGGACACCTCAATTAGACAATGACAACTAAATCGCTTTAAACGATACATAAACTGAAAATAAATTGGCCGTGTTGATAGAGTATGGGGTTTCCATTTTCCAACTCGAGCATCATCCAATCCAATCTAACCAGTACGAGTGAAAATCCAAAATAATCAATCAAATGATTATTTTCAATTCGAGTAGTTCAATTTCGCTGATCTTATATCATCTCATCTTAGAAAGACTGTTTAATCAGACACTCATCTTTTAAACCAGACTGTCCATAAAAACAGAATAATTCTACCTCCGATCATCATTAGTCGGCATCCATTTCTTCCAGTGCAGTCCTAGCAGCAGCCTTCGATTCCTCTAAAAGGTCATCGGGAACCTGAAATTGTGTGCAAGTGCCAAAAGTCATCAGATGGAAAGCACATAAAAACAAAACCGCAAAATATTTTCAAATGACAACTAAATTCTGCAGAAAAATGTAAGTTATTTATCCAAGTCGTTTTCAAATATGGACTCTAATCACTATTTTATAGCTGATAAATTCCAAAGCTCAATTGCATCAAAATTTCAGAAAGGAAGAAAATCAAATTATGCATGAGATATTAAACTGGATAATATCGTGGCACCAACACTATTTATTTCCTTCAGTATAGTAACTTAATGGCTTCTCTTGCTATGAAAGAGAGAACAAAAGGTGGCAAGGAGTAAGATAGGATTAGAATTGAAAGCATCAAAGAAAAGATGAATCTAGACCAATGAAGTGAAAAAATGATTGAAAACTTATTGCACGGTTTTGGACTTGTAAAATGTTATCAAATGGGAAGATGGTCAAGTATGTGTAACATGTTTAGGGAGAGTTTTTGTCTGTCGTAATTCTGGGGTTACTGTTGTCCTGTTTCTACAGCAGTTCAGGAGTGTGATGTGAGCGCATAAGAAATGGGGTTAAGTTCTGGGAATGTCTGCACCGTGTTTTATGTTTTTGTCATTGCATCCTCTTGTGCCATTGCTCGGATGCACTCTTTTTCCCTCCACTTAAGGGTAGGGAGGTTTTTTAACGAGGCTCTGAGCAATGTGTGTCTCATGTGTCGGCCAGTAATAAAATTCTCAACTTTTTTCAACAAAAAAACAAAATTATATGCTCCAAGGAATAAGTAACCCAAAATTTCTGTTTGTGCAGAATTTCAAGAATGAGAATCTTATGACATGTTGGGTATCTCTTATGTGAATAATACACGAGTGAAACAGGGTTTTACATAAGGATTACATTTCCCCCAAATTCTATGAAACTCATGACACCCATTGAATAGAAAACCAAATAAAACACACCATAATTCAATTCATTTAGTAGTTGAAGCTAGCATAAAGGTAGAGAGTGAGGCGTTGTATATCCATAATGGCTGGTGTCAGGAATTACCTTTCGAAGTTGTTGCTTTGACTCATCACATACCCAACTCATCTCCAGTTCAAAGGCCTTGTCCTTAGCTTCATCATGTACCTTGTAGATGCTGCTCAATGACAAATGATCAAATCTTATGCATGCATTCTCAGAGAAGGGAAAACAATATCACGCAAATGCATTGTAAACATACAATTCAGGCAATATGCTTGACCACACTTATTTTGTTTCTTAAGTCATGCCAGTCTGATATTTCTTAGATATTGCATACAAGCATCAGGCTTGTCATTGTGCCAAACCAGATATTACAGAAAATAAATAAAATAACAGAAAAAGAATTTGAGCTTGTTCCCTAGATTTCCATTAAATGCAAGAAAAGAAAAAGGAAGTGTTAACATTCAGAAAGAAGACATAAGCAATTATATTGACAGGTAAGAATGGAATTAAGATAGGCAAACTCACATTTTGGCTACTTCAAAAACCCCTTCCCTGCACGTCATTTCTGACAGCTTCAACTTTTCGATTTCTCTGTTCACAAACACAATTCAATTGAAACCTTATAGATGTCTACTACAAGTGTTACTGAGATGAGTGCACAAAAACAAGAGATAAAACATAGACAACTAAAGTTTCAGCTTCTTAGATATTTGAAAGAGCATAGCCATTAATTTTACAGGATAGAGCAACAATTTAAGTAGCCAACCAAACTAGTTTAGTGCCAAGGGAGTGTTGACTTGATTTTTATGACCCGTGGACAAATGAAAACTTGACAAGTAATGAAACAACATAGGAACGCATGTTTCCCTATTCATAAATCCACTTCAATTTTTCTTCATATCTTTTACTTTCTCTATTTTTCAAATGCAAATTAGGAAACAAGGAAACTCGTATAGAACAATAGCAAAACTTTGTATGAGGAGATGATGCCAGAAATATTTTGGAGATTAGATTTCAAAGAAGATAAAATGAAGTCCACAACATCCAATGCTCCAATAATTTCATATAATTAGCTAGCATGAACAGATGAATGTCTTCCTTCAAGTTTCGCAGGATAAAATAAATAGTTTTGTAACTTACGTTTTGGCAGCTTGTTTTCCCTTCCCGATTGCAGCACCAAAGTATCTCTTTATCAATTACAACAAGCAACGATCCAAACAAGGAGACATAAATCATTAACTAGCAGCAAATAGAAATAATACCAATGTAACGAGCATCAACAAACTAAGAAAAACACGAAGCTGTAATAGGGAGGAACGAACATACATAGGAGATGCCAGACGGTTCAACCATATATAATTGGGGACCATCTCTATCATAACCACCGAGAATTATCCCACAGCCAAAGGGCCTGAGCCACCAGTAAAGGGTGCATAAATGCACATAACTCGCAACTCGTTCAGCAAGTTCTTTAACGGGAATGGGCTCACCATATACACTTCATAACCACCAACAAATGAAACCCATAATTAGATAAAAGAAAATAACAGGCATAGCTAAAGCTGAACTTTGGGAATTGAAACCAAAGGAAAAACCTTTGGTAATTAGTAGCTTCAGATTTAGCACGGGCTACAATTTGCCTACCGTCAGCTGCTAATCCAGCCACTGCCTGAATTAGAGTACAGAATACCAGTGGAAGAGAGTCAGAATCCAAAATATTTGCAATGAAAATAGGGGCAAGGATGCCATTGAAATAAAGTTAAAGATGAACAAAAAAGGGGAGGAATAGTGAATACCATGCCGGAATGGCGATGAACGGAGTGGATTCTTCGATTAGAACCAGGTAACATCATCTTTGAAGCTATCAACTTCTCAACTCCCTAAAATAATAGTACACAGTTTAGTCTACACCCATATAATTGCCGCTGTTTTTTTCCCTTTTCCTGTGGTTTCAAAATAAGAAAATAAGGGAAAAGGAAAAGAAAAACTTTACCATTACGATCCCATCTTTGCATTTTATTCCAATCACAGTTCTGCAACAAGAAAAACAGTGTTTTTGAAAAAAAAATTAGATTTTTCAAAGCCTAAAATTAAATATAAAGAAGAAGAAGGGCAGACCCGCTGTTATCGACGGCTTTGGCGGCGTATTCGATCTGAAAAACGCGGCCGTCGGGAGAGAAAGTGGTGACCGAGAGATCGTAACCAGTTCCTATGCTGCTCATCTTGTTTCTTCTCTGCTTTTCCCTACTTGTAACACTTGATGTTTTGTTTGCTCATCTTTGTCGGAACTTCAATTATATTCTACTTAGAAAGGAATTTTTTATTTTCTTTCTGCTCAAGATATCCATACCGATGGACCTTCATGGGCCACTCAAGGCTTCCACTCTATTTTTATAGTTTTATGGGCCACTCAAGGCTTACACTTTGTTGGAGAAGGCTCACGTGAGGCGCTTAATATACGATTAAAAAAATGCGGTATTAATTTTGTTATTGGCTAAAAAAAATGATATCGGTTTTGTTATTATTATGTATAACAAAACCGGTAAAAATTATCGAAAATATTATTATTTCTATCGGTTTTGTTATTATTTGACATTTTACCGGGTAAAAATATAACGGTTTTGTTATTGTTGTGCATAACAAAACCGGTAAAAATTACCGAAAAATATCATTATTTTAACAAAACAGGTAAAACACTACTGGTTTTGTTATTTTTTTTTACCGGTTTTGTTATTGTTGGGCATTTTACCGGAAATGTTAAAAAATATTGATGTTTTAGGTATAAATAATAATGTTTTAGGTAATTTTTACCGGTTTTATTAACCCAACAATAACAAAACCGGTAAAAATAAATTTTTTAATAATAAAATTAATAAACACAAATTATATAATTTTTTAAAAAATTCTTTATTATAAACATCAAATACAATAAAATAATATTATTTATTAACAAAATAATAATATATTTTAAATTATTAGAATAATTTATTTAATATTATTTATGTCAATATTACTATTAAAATATTATATCTATAATTTTATAAATAAAAAATTATGATTATTATATTTTATTAAAATAAAATTATTATAAATTATATTTATTATTTATTATAATAAGAATAATATATCATTAATTATATTATAATGAGATAATAGTGAAACATATGTGTCGATACATTTTCAAAAAGTATCGACACATATGTTACATCGAAACCGATAATTATAATGTAATAGGTAAATTTACAATGTAATCTGTATAAATATACCGATTTTATGAGAGAATAGGTCAACATAATGTATCGACACAAATTTAAAAAGTGTCGATACATTTTGCCCAAAATGAATGCCAAATGAGGTGCACACATAAAATGTCGATACATTTATTAAAAGTATCGATCCCAAAAACATCGAAACCGATAATTATAATGTAATATGTAAATTTACAATGTACTCGGTATAAATATACCGGTTTTATGAGAAAATATGTCTACATAATGTATCGACACATTTTAAGTTTGTGTCGATATTTTTTTCCAGAATGAATGCCCAACGAGGTGCACACATAAAGTGTCGATACATTTAAAATTGTATCGATCCCAAAAACATCGAAACCGATAATTATAATGTAATAGGTAAATTTGCAATGTTTATTTTAAAAATAATATTATTATTTTGTTAATAAATAATATTATTTTATTATTATCTTTGGTAACATTTTAAGTGTTTACCTAATATGTTGTAATAACAAATTAAGTAATTAACAAATAATGTTATATAACTGGTTATTACTTAACTTGTACGTTATAAAAAGTATTAATAAGTTTTTACGTCATTAAAAACAAAAGAATCCTTATAATAAATAAATAATCTTTGCAAGTCTTTTACAAATTACGTTAATATATATGTAATAATTATATAATAAATATTTTTTACAATTCATAAATAATTTATTTTCAAATAATATTCTTATTATATTACATTGTTAACTTAATTACAAGATGCAATTATTTTTTTCGTTAATAAATGAATATAAAAAATATTATAATCAATTAACGTAGCTTTTTTTTATAACGTACAAGTTAAGTAATAACAAAATAATGTTATTACATTATAATAAACGTACAAGTTATTTTAAAATAATAATTAACCAATTATGTTATCCTTGGTAACATTTTAAGTGTTTACCTAATATGTTGTAATAACAAATTAAGTAATTAACCTATTTTATTATATAAGCGCTACCTATTACGTTATATAAGTGCTACTTAATATGTTATTGTGCTTGATAATGTTTCCAATAATTAACTTATTTTATTATATAAGTGTTACCTATTACATTATATAAGTGGTACCTAATATGTTATTGTGCTTGATAATATTTCTAGTAATTAACCTATTTTATTATATAAGCGCTACCTATTTTATTATATAAGCGCTACCTATTACATTATATAAGCGCTACCTAATATGTTATTGTGTTTGATAATGTTTCCAGTAATTAACCTATTTTATTATATAAGTGATACATATTACATTATATAAGCGGTACCTAATATATTATTGTGTTTGATAATGTTTCCAGTGATTAACCTATTTTATTATATAAGTGCTACCTATTACATTATATAAGCGGTACCTAATATGTTATTGTACTTGTTAATATTTCCGGTTAAATTATATAACATAACAGGTCTAAATTTTAACTGACCACTTGTTTAACCAGTCACGTCATTTTTAGTCGTTTTTAAACGCCGCACAGTTGAACTTCCCCACTTTGCTATTTTACTTTAGCATTTGATTGATGTAAATAATTTTCAGGTTTTCTTTCTTCTCAAATTTTCAGGTTTTTTTTGTCATTACCGCGTTTAGAATAAAAAATTAGGATTTTTTACAAATTAGTCGAGGTGACGATTTCGCCCGTGTTAAATTTTAAAAAAAATTAATTAATTAAAAAACTAATATTTTATTAAAATAACATTGTTTACAAACTACTAAAGTATATTCATATTTTCTAAGTTATTGGTGATGCCGATGAGTGATCGAATGATAATGATGTGAGACTCATCGAGTACGCCATTGTCATCGGTCTTAATCGTCGTCGTTGTTGTCTTCATTTTGTTGAGGATGTGTACTTAACACACTTTGAGATCCACCTTTGAAATACGGTGACGATCTTATGGTATTTGACGCCATCATTGTCGTTACTAAATCGACTTGGCAACTATGTTGTTGACCATTTATGATATAATTCCATTCACCCTCGCCCGCATGTTCAATCGAATATATTTGAGCGTGTTGCATTGCATCCCATGAACCTACAACCCAAGTCCGCTAAGTCTCGGTTGACGTATGATATGCAAGATAGAAACTGAAACTAGTCTGAGATGCATAATAGTAATCTTCAACTGCAGATGCTGAGCTGAAGCAGAAGAAGATGTAGATGCATAATATTTATTAGTCAATGGGTAATTGTGCAACAATCACAATGAAACTCGTCACGTCGAGGTGACGAGTTCGCCCGGGTTAAATTTAAAAAAATTATTAATTAAAAAATTAATAATTTTTATTAATATAACATTGTTTACAAACTAATAAAATTTATTTATATTTTCTAAGTTTTTGGTGATGTCGAGGAGTGATCAAATTATAATGGCGCGGGACTCGCCGAGTATGTCATTGTTGTCAGCCTTAATCGTCGTCATCGTTGTCTTCATCTTGTTGAGGAGGTTTACTTAACACACTCTGAGATCAACCTTTGAAATACAGTGACGATCTTATGGTATTTGACGTCATCATTATCATTACTGAATCGACTTGGCGACTACGTTGTTGACCATGTATGATATAATCACATTCACCCTCATCCGCATATTATATCGAAGATATTTGAGTGTGTTGCATTGTATCTCATGAACCTCTAACCTAAGTCGGCTAAGTCTCGGTTGAAGTATGATATGCAAGATAGAAACTGAAACTAGTTGAGATGCATAATAGTAATCTTCAGCTGCAGATGTTGAAGTAGAAGACGTCGATGATTTCTTCTTGGACTTGGGAAATCTGGCCCGATGTTGTTCCCATTCTCCCCTATGTTGTGGTGTCATGATATTTGATTTTCCATTTGCTTTTAATTTTGGAAATAAGGAGAATGGTCAAAATCTAGCTCTAGCGGTGTAATCTCGTAACACAGGGGAGCGATAGGTGACACTGATTTCATAGCTCAATGTAGTAAGCTTGCTTCGTCGACCAATTTTCAGTATGTTTCCCACGCGTATCAATTCTATGGAACACGTCAATTTCAACGATTTGTGAAGGAATCGACTGATGCGACGCATACTGTTGCAGTACTTTATCAGCGGTGTGCCACTCAACAATCGTAAAATATAATAATGGTATCACAGCACACAATAAATTGGACCCCTCAAAAAATTGTGGTAGCAATAATCAGTAGATCTCGTCGTTAGTATACGTAAGCCAAAAAAAACTGTAAATATTAAATATCAAAGTTAATATATATATATATATATATGTAAAGTTAAAATTAAAAAATAATAAAGGAACAAATGTATATCGCATATCGACCGACGATGTCGATCCTCATTTATATATCTTTTCTAGTAGTACTTGACAACTTCGTCTCAATTATTTTATGGGGTCATCTAAAATATTTAAAAATAAAAAAATAAAAGTATATAAAATAAATAAATTAAGTTAATCAAATTTAAAAAAAGGTTAAATATTACATTCCAACAAGAGGAAATTCGACTAGGGTTGTTGTAATTGTCATAAAAATAGGAACCGATACCAAGCCTAGGATTGTAGCAATATTAGACAGCCTGCTACATCAACTTTTTGACCCTGCTCAACAATTGCAGCCTTGCAAAGCTCCCAGTACAGAAAGGCTAAAATCGTCGAGTCCTAATTGGTATTGCGATGCTCAGTGAAGTCATTTAATATTCGACGATACTGATTGTGCGTCAAATTATCGAATTTATCCGATAATAATACCCCTTTGATCAGTTAGAGAAGATATGCTCGGGACATAAAAATAACCTCATCCTCGATAGAGTCGGCTGTCACTTAGAATTCGGAATCCAATTACGTCATTCATACACGATAGCCATCGATGAACTCGGATGGTGGCAACTTTCTCGAAACTTCGTAGACCAATGTCCTGGGGTCATAATTGTTCTGCCTCACCACGAGAGGCTTCATTCACATGAATACTGAGTTGGTAAGAGACGTCTTCCAAAGTAAT